GGATCTGCTAACAGCCCTGGTTCTGCCCAAATAAAACCCCTACATACTGTGGGAGGAAATAAGGTCCCCATAGTGCATGCATGTAAGGAAGTCACAGCATCAAGGCTGTCTCTCCAACATCCCCCCCCCACCACCCCCAAAGGTCAGTAGACTGGAGGTGGGCAAGATCTTGGGAGGGGACATAGCCAGGACATCTTACCCAAACTGACCAAAGGGATATTCCATTCTATATGACATCTGCTCAGAAATAAAAGCTAAGAGAAAGGGGGGGGCATTTGTTATTACATTTGTCTTCTGGAGCAACTGCTGCTTGTACTGAAGCCCTGCTTCCTGGGAAGTGGCTGGACACTGCCTGCTGATGGGAAGTAGAGAATAAATCTTTTGTTTACCTTTGCTTCTGTGCACAGCCTTTGCTTTTGTTTTATTAAACTGCCTTTATCTTGACCCATGAGTTCTTTTCTATCTTATTTTCTCCCCGTGTCCTGTTGAGGAGGGGGAGTGATAAAGTGGTTTGGTGGGCACCTGATGCCCAACCAAGGTCAACCCATCACAAACTCACATGACTGCAAGACCACAATGGATGGCTTAAGTCCTGGGGGGGGATTGATTATTTTTTATTTTGGTGCTAGTGTGAGGAGTCCTCCCCCTGAGAAGGAAGAAGTGGCAGAAACAATGTGAGATGAACTGACCACAACCCCTATTTCCCATCCCCCTGCACTGCTTGGGAGGAGGAGGTAAATAAAATAGGGAGTGAAGTTGAGCCTGGGAAGAAGGAAGGAGTGGGGGGGGGGGGAGGTCTTATTTCTCATTACCCTGCTCTGATTTGTTTGGCAATAAATTAATTAATTAATTTTCCTCAAGTTGAGTCTGCTTTGCCCATGACAGTAATTGGTGAATGATCTCTCCCTGTCCTTATCTTGAGCCATGAGCCTTTTGTTATATTTTCTCTCCCTTGTCCAGCTGAGGAGGGGGAGTAATAGGCTTTGGTGGCCACCCGGCATACAGGTAAGTTCAACCCACCACACCCCATCACAGAAAAGGGAAGCAGTTACAAGTCCTAATTGTGGAACTTGGACTGGAACTGCTGCTGGACAGTGATATCCATGAATCCCTGGTGCCCAGGAATGCCTCCACCATCATTTGCTTTCTCCGAGGATTGAGTGACTTGTGTTCTTTTATATGATTTTCAAGTCTAGTTTATGATTGTTATTTTGATACAGAAAATAGTGTGTCAAGATTTGACCTGACCTGCAGAGGGTCCAGGTGACTAGAAATTATAAGTTAAGTTACTATAATAATCATAATATACTGATAAGAAAATAAAGCTTTAATTTTCTACAATTTAGTGCCAACATCATTCTGCCAGGGTTCCCTAAAAGAATCTGTCTGTCCCCTTAGTGTTGGGTGACACTGTTTGCAAGGTTTTTTGGTTCAGTGGTTCTGGGGGATTTATTTGGCATATTTTTGTTTCAGCATGTTTTGTGGTGGTTTTTCTTTTTTTTTTGGGGGGGGAAGTGTTCTTGTTGAGGGGGATAGATTTGGTTTTGTTTTGGGACATTTTTCATTTGGCATATTAGGTTTTATGTGGTTCAGTGGTTTGAGGACCTAGGTTTGGTGTATTTTAAGCAAAATTTTATTCTAGCACTTTATGGGGGTTTATTTAGTTGGTGATTGGTGGATTTTAGCTTTTGTGTGATTTGGGTTTTTTCAGTGTAAGGGTGAGCCTGGGTTTGGGATACTTATGATTTGGCATGGTTTCAGGGGTTTTTGTATCAGTCATTGGGGGGCAGGGTTTTTGGGGTAATATTGGGTTTTGGGGTTTTGAATAGTTGGTGTTTAGTTTTTTTTATTATTTTGACAGCTACGTTTTTTTTTGCATGTTTTAGTGGCTTGTTTCAGTATGGTGGTTCAGGAAGCTGTTTGGTGCATTTTTCAATTTTTTTTTTTCCCACTTTTGTTTTGGCAGTTAGGGGATTTTTTTTTTTTGTGTATGTGCTTGTTAATGGGGGGGTGCTGGGTTTGGCTTTTATTTATTTTGGCCTGGTTTGGGGGAGTGGTTTGGTTGTTGTGGGGGCTGGGTTTGGCATGTCTTTGCTTTAACATGGTTTTCTTGGGTTTAGGTTTTTCTAGGGGTTTTGTGACTGAGGGCTCGGTTTGAATGTTTGAGTTTCATCATGTTTTGAGAGACTTTTGGTTCGGTGGCTGAAGGTGATAGGTTTGGTGTATTTTTTGTGCTAATGCATTTTAGTTTTTTTTTTCCAGATTGATGGTTGAGAGCACTGGGTTAGGCGCAGTTTTGTTTTGGCATGTTTGGAGGATTAATATTGTGTTTGGAGAATTTGCAGTATTGGGGTTTAGTTGGGTTTGTGGCTTTGTTTTTTTTTTCGTTTGTTTGTTTGATAGTTGGAGGGCAAGATTGGGCACATTCTTTTGTTTTGATGTGGTTTTGAGAGGCCACGTTTTGCCAAGTTTTCAGCATTTTTTGTGTGCTGTGAGGTATTTTTTTGGTTCAGTGATTGGATTAGCTTAGGCTGTTTCTCTTTTGGCATGTTTTGGGTATTTTTTCATTCTGGGTTTGTCAGGACTGGATTTTGCACATTCTTGTTTTGGTGCATTTGGGGGGGGGCAGGGTTTATTGGTTTTGGTATGCTTTTATTTAGGCATGTTTGGGGAGTTTTTTTGTTCAGTGGTTGGGGAGGGGTGGGTTCAACATGTCTTGGGGATCTTTTTGTTCGGTGGCTCAGTGGGCTTTGTTGGGCATGGTTTTGTCTTGACATGTTTTGGCCCAGTGGTCTGATGTGCTGGGTTTGGTGGATTGTTTGGGTGCAACGTGTTTGGGGGGGCTCGCCTTCCTGTGCTTCAGAGAGCAGGATTTGATGCACTTTTATGTGTGGTGCGTTTTAGGGTGGGAGGTTGCCTTTTCAAGATCTGGGGGGCTATATCTGGAGCATCTTTTCCTGTGGCTTGTTTTTGAGAGTGGTTGCCTTCTTGGGGTTTGAGGGGCTGGGGTGCTTTTTCCCGTGGCACATTTTGGAGCAGAAAGTTGCTTTTGTCATTCAGGAGACTGGATTTGGTGCACTTACTCACACAGAACATTTTTTGGGAGAGGTTTGCCTTCCTAAGGTTCAGGTGGATGGTCTTGGGCACACTTTTTCATGTGGTGCATTTTTGGGCTTGAGGTTGCTTTCTTGGGGTTCCAGACACTGGATTTGGCATGCTTTTTCTTGTGGTGTGTTTTGCAGGGTGAGTGCCTTCTTGTTGTTTGAGAGGCTGAAGTTGCCATGTCTTATGATGTGTTTTAGGGAGAGGCACAACCTTTTCTGTTTTCAGGAGGCTGGGCACATCTTTTTGTGTGGAACATTCTAGGGGTGAGGGTATCTTTTTGGGGTGGGGGCTGGGTTTGGCACATTTTTGGGTATTGTGTTTTGGGGGCAGATGGAGCAGGCCTTTTTTCCATGGTGCTTTTTGAGGAAGCTGTTGCTTTGGAGTTTGAGAGGCTGGGTTTGGAGCACCTTTTTGTGATGTGTTTTTGGGAGAGTTTGATGTTCTGGATTTGGAGGGCTTCATTTGGTATGGTTATTTTTAGCATGGCACATTGTGATGGGAATACCTCCTTCGGATTTGGGTTGGTGCGCTTTTTTTGTGTTGCAGTTTACAGGGCGGAATGCCAACATAAGGGGGGAGAAGCAAAGGAAGAGGTGGGAGTGGCATGCTTTTTCATGTGGCACAGTTTGGGGAGTGTTTGCCTTCCTGAGGTTGAAGGGGCTGGGGTGCACATTCTTTTTCCATGTGGTGTGCTGTGGGGAGTATAGTTGCTTCCTCAAGTTTCAATGTTTAGCATGCTTTTTTGCGTGGTGTGTTTTGAGGGGGTTGCCTTTTGCCAGTTTGGGGTGGCCAGGTTAGAACATTTTTCTTTAGCTCATTTTGGGGATTTTCTGGTTCTGTGGTTGAGGGAAGCTTTTGGGTTTAGAGAGGTGGGTTTATTGGGCTGGGGGATACTAAGTTTCGGGGGGGGGGGGGGGGGAGGGGGAAATGTATCAGTTTATGCTTTTTACAGGGGGGTGAGATGTTTTGTTGAGGTTTTGGCAGGGTTGAAGTGTTTGGGGCAGGAGGGGTTGGGGAAGTTGTAATTTGTGGAGGTTTAGGATTTAAGTATGATTTACCAGGCCTGTGAGTTCTGAAGTTCTTGGGAGCCAGTGGTTGGGTTTAGGGGTTTATGGGGAGTTTATTGGATTTAGGAGGGTGTGTTTTTGAGGGGGCTGGGTTTCAAGCTTTGGGTTTGCTTGGTTTGGGATATTTTTTTTTGTTGGATGGTTTGGGAGGGGGGAAGAAAGGGTGTGCCCAGAGTTTTGGGTGTGAGAGCTACTGGGGTTTGGGGCATTGTGCATGGTTGGGGCTTTTGGAGGGAGTGTGAGCATTTAGGGGGTGAAGGTTTCAGGATTTCTTGTATTTAGGGGTTTAGGGCTTTTTGTTTGGAGTGGATTTTCAGGGGGTCTAGTTTAGGTTACTTTGGGGACTGGGATCCATGGAGTTTGGGGTGACAGTTTTTTTTGTTTGGTTGGTTATTGGGATTTGGGGGGAGCTCTGTGGATTGGGGGTTTTCAGGGTTTGGCTTTGGGTCGTTTGTTTTCTTTTAGGGGGTGGGGCTATTTGTTTTGGGTGCAGGGAGCTTTTAGGGTGCTTTTGATGTTTTGGACGGTTATCAGCCCATAGATAGATGCCCGGCCGTTGCTGGGTTGTCATACCTCTGCAGCTGGCTCCCCCACCTCCCCCCCACGCGGTTGAGCATACCGCGGTGTCATCGGAAGTGACTTCAAGCGGCCAGGAGAAGACAGACAAGGAGAATAGGAAGGAATGCTCAGCGCGCTGCCTTTAACTTTACGTCTCTGCCCTTCCGTAGTGAGGCACTTGACCACCCCACTGACTACGGGATGCAAGCATGGGGCAGCGGACTGTACCCCATCGCACCCAGCTGCTTGGCCTGTCCCGACCACACTCACCTTGAGGCTGCTACTGCTGCTACTCGCGTCCTCTTCTTCGCCGCTGCAGGTTCTAGCTGGCCCCCCACGGGGCTGCTGGACGAATGAAGGGATAGCAGAGCCACGCGGGCTAAAGGCCACATTGTGGGCATTCTCTCCCCAGCGCCAGGGGTAAACCATGAAGTCGCTGAAGCCAGGGCTGATGAGGATGGGCGGGGGGAGTGTTAGTTCCTCATCTCTGACCCTGGAGAACGGCTTGACAGAGGTGGTTTTGATAACAGAAACAAGTACGCCATTCGGGGACTCCTGGTAAAAAGTCACCGGGAGACCCGGCGGTGGCTTCTCCACCATCGCCACCTCCTTGCAGACACCTGCGCAGAAAAGGGAAGAGGGAGTGGGAAAGCTCCTAATGGCTCAGCTGCTCTTTCCCAAAGCGGGGAAATTGTAGAAATCCTGCAACCACCACCACCATTTGTCAAACACCATCCCACCCCACCACTCTGCTTTACCTGTTTTCTGCCGGAGACGGCGGCTCCTCTTGGGACCTCACCCCTCTTTTCTCAGCTACCACCGGCGCAAAATCTGTGACAGCTACAATCTGCTCACACGTTCTGAAGTGGAGCCGATCCACGCTTGCAATTCCAGTCCTGATGACTCCTGAAAAACAGCGTTGCAAAACCAAGGCCGAAACCGAAAATTTCCCGCGTTACATTTCGCGCCTGGGCGTAACCAATCACCGAACCAGGTGCTTACGTCACGGAGCAACGGTTACCGCTTACCAACCACTTTGCCGTGTGGGCGGGGACAGAACGGAACTCGGCTTCACTTCTGCTGTTCTATTGGCTAGGCGCCAAGTCGACTAGTAGAATTCGAAACTGATTGGGCTGGTGGAGTGCTAGGGGTGTTTTGCCTCACTATAACTAATTTTCTATAAGAAGGCGCAACTTGGCTGCTGATTGGCCCGCCCGCCTGTTCGTCTGCTCTAGCTTGGTGAGCGTTTTTGTTTCGCCGTTAGAGCGCTTGGTGGATGAGCTCTGGCGGAAGACTAGGAACAGGCGCTGTAAAGGCTGCAGCAGCGCGGTTATTACAGTGGCCGTTGGGGGACGTGGCAGAAGTAAGCATGTTGGCCGCGCTCTGTGAGGAAGCAAAGCAGGGAGCTCAGAGCCGCTGCCTCTGCGGGATATCGCTGCGGGGGCCAGAGTGTACCAAGAAATCCCTGTTTCGGTACTAAACCCTAACACTGATAAGCTATTCTGAGTCGGCAGTTCTGCTCCTCCACGCACACGTTTAAAATAACCATTGCTTGATCATACACTAACAGGTAGTCCAATGAGTGCAACGCTGTTTTGTGATGATTGGTGTGAAAGGCAAGGCGCTAACTGAAATATAATTTGTGGAATGAACACTGCTTGAGACTATGAGCTTTTATCTCGGTTGTTGATGTGACCGGAAGACCCACCTTAAGTCGGCTGTTACCGGCTGAGAACACCCCATAATGACAATAAAACAGTAGGAGATTTGCCCTTGAAAAAAAAACCCAAACCCAGTCATATAACATAGCCATCTGCACCACCTGCATAGAACAAGCACATACTGTTTACATAAGCAATAGTAAATGATTATTCCACCCTGTAACACAAGTGATTTAGAAGTTATTAATTTTATTATTTAGTAATTAGTGTTAAAAAAAGCCATCCAAACAAAAACCAGGAAAGTGGAATTCATATCAGCTTTTAATTGATCCCCTGAGTGAAAGACCTACATCTGAACAACAAAAAATTTGATGTTAAAGAAGAATAACTCGAAAATAGTGGCATACATTGATTTGGCTTTATCTGGTAAAAGCCTGAAAAATAGGTTGTATAATTCTTAAATCTCAAAGTAACCATTTAGTAAATCCTTAAAAAATATTTGAAATTAGGAAGGCTTTGGCTTTATCAGACAGAGCAGTACTCAATTTATTTTATGTTATTGTCATGGTTTAAGGCCAGCCGGTAACCCAGAACCACACAGCTGCTCGCTCACTCTCCCCCCACTTCTTCCTCCCCCCACTCCCAGAGGGATAGGGGGGAGAATCAAAAGAATCTAAATCCCATGGGTTGAGATAAGAACAGTCCAGTAATTAAGGTATAAGACAAAACCACTACTGCTACCACCAATAACAATAATGGAAATAACAAGGGGAGAGAATGATACAGGGTTAACCAATGTACAGGGGGGTTGTACAGGGGGGTTAGAGGAATCTGCTTGCTTAAACAAAAGTATTGTCTGTACCTATCATGCCTACTAAGCAGAACAAAGACACTAACCATTGATAAGGAAAAGCAGACACCTGGTTCTATTGACAAGGAAAAGCAGAGGCCTGATTCTACTGATAAGCAGCTATTGACTGACAAGGGACCTGGGGAATCTGCCCTAGTAGATCCACTGGTTAAATTAAAACTAGAGACCAGAGGAAATAAAGTGGAATTTTAGTGGATACAGGAGCAACTTATTCGGAGTTAATTGAGAGGGAAAAGAATTTGTTACAGATGTGGGAGCTACTGGCCACCAAGGAAAAGAAAAGAAAAAACCTAAACAAAACAAAACAAAACAAAAAAGGCAAAAAGAGGCACACATTGGAAAAACAAATAAGAATGCATAAAATTTTTATGCATACTAAATTCTTCGAAATCCTTATTAGGACAAGAAGCAACATTTAAAGAAGGCAAAATGGAATTAAAGAATTAAAAATCAATTAACTAACTATTCTTGAGACCTGGACTTTACACTCAGTGCCAGAGCCTTGTAGCCTCACATATGGGTGCATAATAACTTTTGAACGGTGGAACCTGCCGTGGATACTAGTGTTACTAATAGGTGAAATTGTGTGTTGAAACAATAATACAAAGAGAAAAGATGATTATATTTGAAAATCTGTATTGTCAAGGATATCAACAAGTTGAAATTTGCCTGATTTTAACAATCTAAACTCATTCCCTTAATCCCTGACAGCAAACTAACAATTGAGAAATCTAAACCTAGAAAATCAAAGGAGGATAGAAAATTTATTGAAGATCTCAGAGGAGGAAAGGAAAACAAAGAAGATTGGGTTCAGATACCTGATGGGCGAATTATAATCCCCTATAACCAACTCTGGATGGTAGTTCAGGAGGAACATAATAAAACTCATTGAGGTACCAAGTCTTTGTATAAATACTTAGATGAACAAATTGAAGGAAGGAATCTATATATAATAGTTCAATTAGACAAATAAATTTTTACCAATATTTGGTGTTAATGAAATACTTTTTTAGGGTGGCCAGAAGCATTCCCTTGTAGGTTTTGGAGTACCAGAGGCACTTTCTTCCCACCAAGGCTCGCCCTTTAGTGCAAAATAGTTACAAGGGCAACTACTAAACCTCGGTCGAAAGAAGAGGCTATCCTATGTAAAAATTTTACATGGAAGACCATATCAGTCCCAGTTTAAAGGAGAAAGTCTTCTGGAAGTGGGAGAAGGTTATCTCCTAAAATTTCTGGTCAATCTGGGAAAACAATTAGAAGAAATAAGAGAATACTAAGGACAAGAGTGAGAGGCATGGATTACCCGACTCACCCTTTTAGATCCAGAGACTGGGTTTATGTTAAGAATTTTTCAGGAGATCCTCTACAGGAGAAGTGGAGCGGACTGTATCAGACAATATTGACCACCTTTACAGCAATGAAGATGAAGGAATAACCTGCTTGCAAGAATAAAGAAAGCACCAGAACCAGAGAAGACATGGCAGACTGAACCTTCAGGACCCTCGCATATGAAATTATATTAGTCATTATTTGGATTTATGTGATAACTGACATACCAGCTTGGGACTAATACCTGAAATTAATGCAGAATGTTACTGAAGTAGTTCATTGTAGTGACTGTTGGGAATGTGCACAGTTGCCTGAATCAGGAGAAGATCAGGGCCTTCCTGAAACAGGCAATCATCATAAATATCTCAGCAACCATAGAGGAAATATGGAAAAAGTTAACTTCATGGTTACCTGATCTCTCCTGGTTAAGGCAACTGGTTGCAGGAATATTACTATTAATTGTTTTAATATTGATTACTTGTGGTATAACAAAATTTTCTTCCTGGAATTGTAAACAGTCTATGATAAATGATGAAAATTGAAAAAAGAAATGAAATTTAAATATTGAATAGAAACAAGAAACAATTTCCAAAAAGACTCTGGATGAAAATATGTTGCAAAAGAATTTGCAAAAGGACAGAAAAAGGGGGTATAGACATTTGTTAATACTAACTGACACCTTTTCAGGCTGACCAGAAGCCTTTCCAACTAGAATCGCACAAGCCCGGGAGGTAACAAAGATTGTTATAGGATGGTTGTGGGTATTTCAAAAGTATGTGCTGCATGAACTTATCTGACCATTCTGAATCAAATTCATGCTAAGCTACGAAAATTGCAGGAAAATTTGCAGGAGCTTAGAATTGTTGGAGGTGGTGTAATGAGTAAATTCCTGTTTGTTAATCAAATCTTGCTTGCTTAGGAATTACTTGCTTGCTTTATAGGTACTGGAAAATTACGGTGCTTTGACATGTTACTTATAGACCGCGGGTATCCGTTAAATAAAGGATGTATGGGGAAGGCGATAAGGAGCCTTCCTCCCCACACCCACCGGGAGACAGAATGAAACCCCAAAGGAGATAAGGAGCCTTTCTCCCCACACCCACTGGGAGACAGAATGAGACCCCTTATCTAACACCCACCGGGAGACAGAATGAGACCCCTTATCTACAGGTCACACAGACGCAGAGGACGCTAGGAGGTGACACGTATATCAGATGAAGAAGAGTATAAAACCAGTGACTTTGGGGAAGTGGGGTGCGTGCTGTTGGGGAGCGGAGACTCCCCAGCCGCCCAGCGCTGTTTTGCTTGCTGTCGCTTGCTCAATAAACCGATTTGATTCATTGGTCTGGCTCTCGTCAATTTATTTGAGCTACATTTATAACAGCTAATACATATTCAACACAGATTACATCACTAATACATATGAATCAAAAATTGCCACATCAGTCTATTACATCAGCCTCTTCTGTGCTTGCGCAGCCCCCCTCTGGTGGTCGTCCTGATCAAGTAAGGAGTCTTCCTCAGCTTGTCCTGTTCACTTTTTGTTCCTTGGACATGTCCCAACCATTATGTGGACGCCAGCATTCTCTCATTTTCACTTGACTACTCCTGGTACTTTCGTGAGTTCTGCTTCGGTAGTTTCACAATACTCCCCTAAGTCCACCCATATATCCTTTCCCATATATGGCTATGTTAGTCGCTTATCATTATAGCTACTGTAGAGCGGCGAGGAGAAGCAGACAGGCCAACCCAATATGGGTGATAAGCAACTTCTAGTTTATTTGTGACGCAGTTCACACATATATAGGAGTGGTATTCAGCCACTCCTTCTTGGCACAACAGTATTGGTTAGCCCCCCACAGCTTCCTCCACATTCTCCTCCCATGTCCGGTTCTCTGGCTACCTGTGGGGGCCACCCCCTGCCTTGCTCGCACAGTCCTCCAGAACTCTATGGTCCTGCTCTTAAGAGTCATTCTGCAACAATTCCCCCCTTTTTCTTTGTGCAAGCAAGGCATTATGGGTTATTCTGTTCACCTGTTTTATCACACAACTATAAACAAGTCTAATAGCTACGATGATTAACCTAATCAATGCTACATAAGTGCAATACTTTAAACAGCAGTGTTTGACTCAACCTGTAATGCCCCATGAAGACAACCATCTAATCATTCTTAGGATATTGCTCATTAACTATTGCTGGGTAAGCAGAGCCAAGGTTCTCAGCTGTGCTTACATCAAATTAGCATAATCAGAGAGACTCATACAACACATTCCA